GACCCTTCTAGCCCCCGCACTGGCGTTTGGGGGCTCTCTTAGCTAGACTCAAGGGGGGTTGGGCTCGGTCCCACCTGGCCTGGGGCCCGGCTGGCTGTGCAGGGCGGGGGCCCGGGCGAGGGGCTGGCTACCTCCTGCCGTGGGGCCGGGAGACGGACTGGGGCGGGGCGGCTTCCCTTCGGCCTGCTGGGCCCCTCGGCGTGTTGGTCCTCGCAGGCCTGGCCGGGCCATTCTCCCTGTTGGACCGATGGCAGCTGGCGGAGCTGGCCCAGGGCTGAGCTGCAGGTGGTGCTGCCCCTGGGCAGCCGTGTCCCGGGTGTCCCTTGCCTGCGAGCTGGGGCCTGGACGGGCGTCTTAACGGCTCTTTGTGGTTCCCCAGGGCTCGGGGGTTGTCAAGGCCGGCTTTGCTGGAGACCAGATCCCCAAGTACTGCTTCCCGAACTAGTGAGTACCCGGCCGGGCGCAGAGGGGCCTCACGCAGCGGGGGGCTTGGGGGCGGGCTCCCTCCGGGGCAGGGGAGCTGGGGCTGAGCCCCAGCCAGCTCAGCACTTCCCCTGGTGCTCTGCCCGCCTGCGCACCGAGCTGTCTCCTGTCGCCTCCGCCAGCATCCGAGGTCCCACGCGCGGCTCGGGGGGCAGACGGGGAGATCTCTCCCCAAGCCTGGACAATGCCGGGGCGGGGGGCCCCCATCCTGCCTGCCCCAGCATGGAGCTGCCATGGCCGGGGAAAGGAGCCCTCCTCACCGTCCAGCAGAGAGCCCCCCCAGGGAAGCCTAGGCCCCAACCTTGGGGGATCCCAGCCCTGAGCACGCTCCTGCACCCCAAAGTCACAGCCCAGCCCAGAGCTTCTGCCCCGCAACCCAGCCAGAGCCCTTACACTCCTGCACCCTAACCCTCTGCCTCAGGCCTGAGTCCCCTCCCGCACTCAGAACTCTAAGGCCCCGCCCCCACCAGTGTGCACTTTGAAGGCGATATTTCGTACATCACTTCCATGTTGATGCACATAACAAAATTCATTTTGTTAA